AATACTGTTACCTAATCCATGTTTTCTTGTAGTGAATATTAATTACATGTATATTCAAATTAATTTGTTTATTTCATTTTTCTAGTCCACCATGGTGGAGAAGGGCCAAACCATTCTGAAGGAGGTGGCTTCCCAACTTCCCCTAGAGACCCCGATCGAGGAGGTCGCTCCCCCTGAGGATTTTGAATTTCAGATCATGACAGACACACTTGATTAGACCCTGGGTCATCGGCATGGGAATGTTCACCGGGGGCTTGGGAAAACCCGCCTTCGGGACCCGTCTGCCTCATCCTCCAGGCAGAGAACAGAAAAGGTCGAAACGCTGACATCTGAAGTGGCGGACCTGAAGGAGTGGATTGCAGCCAAAAACAATTTGATGAACCAAATTCGTCGCGCACTTCAAATTTTTGGCATTCACTTCCCCGACGTTGAACCACCTCCAAAAATGACCTCACAACCCCCCCCTCACAGCAGCTACAACCTCCCAACCCCCCGACGCAGCAGCAACACCACCAGCTGGCGATTGTGACATCGAGGACTACCTATTTTAGTTTTGTTTTAAATTGTTTTCAATTTTAAAAATACTTTTTTTCATTGTATGTAAATTTACAATAATTTTTTAATTCAATATTCTTCTTTACATTTTCTATTTTTAATTTCATTAAATTCATTTTTACATGAAACAATATTAGCAACATTTAAAAGAATAAATAAATTATTTTAAAAACTAATTGTTGAGCAAAAATTGTACATAATATGTAAACAAATAATTCACTCGACACAATTTCACCCTCGTTCATTTTTCGAAGAGGGTTTTATTAATTCAAGTTCGACCCATTCTAGGCTATGCGCCTATTAATTACAACCATTCTTTTAGGAAAGGAATACCCTTTGATTCTAATTCGAATAAAATGTAACTTGAGGATTTTGGTGTTTGTTTGATTTTGTGACTGCACCTAGGTCGAATCCTAGATTGCCTACGTACCCTCTTGAGGGATCAAGTCACTCGTAGTTCAAGTATTTGTTGAGATTTGATGCCTTGTGCAGTTTCAACTCGTGCAGGCAAGGAGCATTTGATTCGGCTTCATGCCATTTGAGATTTTTCTTCGGCTTCGTGCCACTCGAGATTTGATACGGCTTTGTGCCCTTTGAAACTTTTCTTTGGCTTCGTGCCATTTTGGTATTTGATAGTATGAGTGAATTTAGTTTATATAAACCAGGGATTCGTTTCGGTTTCACGGTTGCGTCTAAAACTTGATATCAGACTGCCTACGTATCCTTAACGGAATCAAACCGGCGTAGTTCATAATATTTGGTAATATTTGATTTGGATTTGTGCTCAGCCTTTGGCGAAATGAAAAGCCAATTGGATTTGTTTAAAACCACATATGACCTTCGTATTTGCCTAATAGGCTTTTTGAAATAGGGGTTTAATTTGTCTTCTCTTTAAGTAGTTTTGAAGACATAAAGTGGGACTCCCAGTCCCACGTGAGATGCACCAAAACTTTTCCTTAAGTGGTTGAAACTTGAAGACAAAGTGGGACTTCCACAAAGGATAAAGCCACCCCCCTTTTATTTTCTTCACTTTGAACTTTCAACCTTTTTTTAACATGGGATTTTAAACCGTCCAAGCCTTCTGGCAGCAAACCTTACTCCCCTTTTTTTTATGCCTTTAAGTTTTCAACAACTTCCCACGTAGGGTGCAGACTTGACTTCCAATTTCAAGAATCCCCATTTTTCTTGGCTCTTCTTCTCCACGTGAGCAGCATTCCCACTTAACTTGAGAGATTTTGTTTTGCAGTAAGCTTCTTTCTTCTTCTATTTGAAGACTTCGAATTTTCTAAGTCCCAAATAGGTTTTCAAGTGGTGGAGAGGAAAATCATATTTTATCTTTCCACTTATTTTGAATTTACATGGAAGACAACTGCCCATTTTTTTAAAATGACCATCTGCATGATTTTGAGTAAAGAAAGGCCATCTTTGCAGTTATAAATTTGATTGGTGACAGTGCATCTTTTTTGACTTCAAGTGGATAGCCTCAAAGTTATCAACTTCCTTGTAACTTGCATTTGTTTCATCTTATATACTGCGGTTTTGTGATTTGCATGGACTCTTTGCTTTTGCTATGACTTTTCTCATTGTAGGAAGACATCATTTTCTTTTTTTTACTTCACCACTGAAGTTTGCTGACACTCATGTGATGAACAAAACTATTTTTTTCTTCCTCTTTTTCCTGGAATATTCTTCGAAAAATAGAGCAGCAGCAACGTGCTAAATCCTTCCGACTGAGCTCCTAAAACGGAGCAACAACCACCATTTCAACTTTGGTCTGAGCTCCTAAAACGGAGCAACAGTAACCATTTCAACTTTGGACTGAGCTCCTAAAACGGAGCAGCAGTAACCGCCAATTTCCTTGAACTGAGCCCCTAAAACGGAGCAGCAGCAACCGCCAATTTCTTCAAACTGAGCCCCTAAAACGGCAGCAGCAAACACGCCAAGCTCCTAAAACGGAGCAGCGGCAACACGCTAAATTTTTCGAGTGCTCCTAAAAAGTAGCAACGGCAACACGCCAAGCTCCTAAAACGAAGCATTGGTTGTTTATCGGCCGAGACAAGGGTGCACGTTACGGTCTCTAGGTTCATGGATAGCACTCTTGCTACGCATAGAGGAACAAGGAGCAACCGTCAGGACCTTGGGGAGTCAACAACCGCAGGAAGCGGAGAGCGTCTCTCTTTCTTCTCTGCTCACCAACCGCATCTTTGGCTTCGTGTTTGCCACAGCAGCCGTACTTTCAGATCAGGAAATGGCTCCGGGAATGGTGCAGGAGGATGTGAGCGAGAAAAGAGGAAAGCTCCCTGAGAGAGAAGTGGTGTAGCCTTGGAAATTCAAGGTGGAAGGAGGAAGGTTTATCCTTCTGAAGGCTGCGATGGTGGGACTTCCACCTTCTTCTTTGTTTTGGTGAAAATAAAAAGAGCCAAATCTTCTTTCTTTTCCTCTGCACAAAAACTGAAACAACACCAAGACAAAGAGCAAAATATAAACAATAAATTTCTACCTTGTACTTTTCCCTTTTGCCGTGTCTTCCCTGCTTTTCTCTTTTCCTTTGTTCTTCTCCGTGTGCTTCAATTTCTGCAGCGTTTCTCTTCTTCGTTGCAATATTTTCTTTCAATTTCTCTCTTAATTTCTGCAGGGTCTCTCCCTTTCTTTCTTTCTTTTTTTTTGTCCCTTCCTTGCTGTGGTTGATGCCTATTTATAGGCATCTTAGGAGGTTTCCAGAGTTCTTACGTGGGGGAGGATAGAGGCCTTTCTTTTCGCCACTTTCTCTTAAACTGACTCCACTTTTCTTTTTGTTGCAGAAAATGGGGGAGCCGTTGATTTTGTATGTTTCTTCCCTCTTTTGTAGGGAAATGCATATTTTATTTTATTTTATTATTTATGGATGTATGTAAAGCCCATCCTCATTTTTGTTGGGCTGGATTACATCTTGTTTTGCCTTGTAGTTTGACCCAATTTGTATGGACCTTATTTTTTATACGTCATGTATTTTTATTGTTCAACACTAATTTTAAAATATTACTGCGACAGCCTCTATATCCGTCGATCAAGAGTTTGTGGGTTGAACCCCTATGTTCATCGCCCAAGAGTTTGGAGGTCGAACCCTAGTTTCGTCTCTTGGTACGTGCAACGACCACTAGTTCCATCGCGCAATCTTCATTTTGCGCGACGAAGAGTTTTCCTCCGTCGCGCAATGCCTGACGTCACGAGCTATGTGCGACGCTCTCTTCGCCGCCCAATGTTTCCGGCGACGGTTTTGGCCTTTGTGCGACCCTTTCCCCTTCATCGCCCAAGAAGTTATTCTAGGTAGTGTATTAGAAGCGGTTGTCACTAAATAATACAACAATGTTTCAAATTTGAACAAATTCTAGCCGTCGTTTGCTTTAAACTAATTAGTATGTATAAATACTAATGAAATGCGCATTATTTTATTTTTATTTTGTCAAATACCGAAATACACATTATTTGCTAAATGCTAATGGAATCTAGCATTATTTATTATTGGTTAAGCAAAGATTCGGATCATATGATCTAATCTTAAACCCAACCTACAGTCCCTAAATTTATAATTTGAAGTGTGCTTATTGCTTGCAACAAAAGTAGCAAAATATATTATGCGTGTGTGTGTGTGAATGCCGTAAACCAGCAGGGCAAATCCATGTTATGCCACCCAATTGTATGTGAATCACACCACATGCACAGATGCAAGATCTCTTAGAAATTGGGACCCCCATATTACAGTCACAATTTCCCCACATGTAATCACATGATGGGTATGGCATGCCTTCACAATTGTCAATTTGTCACAGCAAATAACCGGACAATCCCACATTCACTATTGGAAAAGACACTATTAATCCACCGTTAATTCATCTTTCTTCCCTCTTTAAAAGGTTTGAAATGAAAAGGAAAAAAAGGTTTGAAATAAGATTAACTATTTGGTTAGAGTATTCTGTTTCTCTTTTTGCATTCAAGTTGGAGTGCTCCTTCGATAGTTAAATGAATTTTAGCGTAAATAATCACTTAGATCTGTAAACATTTGAAATGAAAAGGGCAAAAAGCAAGAAAATCATTGCCCAACTCAAAATCAATACCTTTGAGTTTTTGAAAATTTGTGATAAGTCACAATCCCACTAAACAAATGAGGGCACATAAAGTCATAATTCAAATTGTTGAGGTCATTTTTGTTTTCTGGTTTTTTTTAGTTCAAATAACAAGAAAATGGGAGACAAAAGAAATATAATAGTTAAATGAAAAACTAAAAAAAACCAGTTTTGACTATTTGTTTAGTTTTATACATATTTACCCCCCTTTCTCTTCTTTGACCTCTATCATGTCTCATGTTCCCTCCTTTCTTCAACCAAAAAAACAAAAAAATAAAAAAAAATAAAACAATAATCCCCAACTGTCCACATATATATATACCCCAGCACAAGCACTGAGCACCAACAAAAATTCAAACACTTGGGAACCCAAACTTGCTCATCATTCCTTTCCAAAAACAAAAAAAAAAAAAAAAAAAAAGCTTGGTCATCATCTCAATGGCAGAGCTAGAGAACCCAACAGTGATGACAAAGATCATAACTTTCCTCTCTTCTCTGGTTCAAAGAGTGGCGGAATCGAACGACCTCAACAGTCATTTCCAACCCCAGAAAATCTCAGTCTTCCATGGTCTGACTAGACCCACCATTTCGATACAGAGTTACCTAGAGAGGATTTTCAAGTATGCCAATTGCAGCCCATCTTGCTTAATCGTGGCATATGTTTATCTGGATCGCTTTTCGCAGAGGCAACCCTCGTTGCCAATCAACTCATTCAACGTTCATCGGTTGCTGATTACAAGTGTCCTGGTGGCTGCAAAGTTCATGGATGACATGTAAGTCTTGAAGTTGAATTTTACTAGCTCATGAACAGAATTTGGAAAGAAAAAAAAAATCTTTGATAATGTTATTCAAAAAGATTTTGCAATTTTTTTGGTGGTCATATCCATTCACTAGCATTGTGTTCATCAAATTGTTCAACTTTTAGATATTATGTTTCATGCATGAATTGTACATTAAAAAAGAATATGAATTCACTAGTATTTTTCCTTGATGGGTTTTACCTTATTAAGTGTTCTGTGTCTGTGGTATAGAACTCTCACTGTTTTTTATCTGGGTTTTGCTTACTTTCTTGCTTTTGTATCTTCATAATTTCAGAAAAAGACTATGTAATTATTTGGAAAAATTAAAGGCAGTTACCTCATACAGAATTTTGATTCCTTTAATGATTAATTTGGAAAATTTTCAGAACTAAAATGTATAAACTTTTAGTTCAGAGGTGTAAAGTTTCCAACAATGTTCTAAAATCCAACTAAGTCCAGCCATGTGATACCCTGGCTTTTCCTATATAAATGGAGTATCCACCTAGATGCACATGGTGACCTAATTTAATAAGTTTTGGTCAGTTAGACCATCTCCAATTCTGGGCTAAAAGCCAAATTACCCCCCAAATTACCCCCCCCCCCAAACACTCTCCAATCCATGCTAAAATTTTAGGCTAAATGCCAAATGCTATTTCTGGGCCAAATACCCCCCCAGCTTTCCCCCGGGCTAATGCGAAATGTTTATCGGAATTTAAATTTTTTAGATCAAAATGTTCATAAAATTAATTTACAATAATCTACATATTTATTTATTTTTAAAGAATTGATTTAAGAAAAAAATTTAGGCTAATTTCATTCTTTAATAATTCCGGGCTAAAATTTTAGGGTAGAAGGGTTGGAGCAGAAAAGATGTTTCTGGGCTAAAAGCTAAATTTTCCGGGCTAAAAAATTTGGCTTTTAGCCCAAGGGTTGGAGATGGTCTTATATAAAGTCAATAACATTTATAAGGAAATATGGCTAATATGGGGAAAATTTTTGGATGTCACTGGCGGATGTATGCTCATACGAGTTATTAACGTAGCGATATGATCGGTGATAGGGTAGAATATCTCTTTTATATGCACATCATAATAAGCCTCATGGTCAAAATTTTCTCCAATGTTTTGTAATGATATGTATATATATTGAAGAATTAACTAGCTTAATTATATCCGTTTTGATTTATCTGGTGTGAAATTTCAGGTACTACAACAATGCATATTATGCAAAAGTTGGAGGAATAAGCACAATAGAGATGAACTTTCTTGAA